AAAGGTGATCTTGTAATCTCACTGATTACTTCTGGTTTAAGCTTTAAATGATCAAGTAAATCCAAATAATTATTATTAACATAAAGATACCAGAGGCAGTAAAAGACAACGATGGAGTTAAAAATTTGGTTTCTTATTGAAGAAAAAAGTTTAAAAAAATTTGGGCCCACAAGATCTCCAAAGCGGGATTAGCCACTTGTGGTGGTCACTGATTTACATGTTTAATTATAGTGCATAATTTCCTCTATTATACATCGAATATTCCACCAGTTGATCATTTTGTCTATCTCTCGAGTGACTCCAAAGCTTTCCAATTATTTGTTTTTCTTCGTCAAGACTATTTAAGATAAAGTTAGCCAGCTAGCTAGCTAGTGGCTGTTAGCTTATGAGGTAGCTAATTCCTCAAATTAAGATAAAGCTATCACATTCTTAATAGATGTATTTGTTGAATTACCATTTATACTATTTAAACTCGTGTGGCGTCTATACTTCTTTCGTGTTTTTGTCGTATTCATATCATGTGAAATTATTCAAAAGTTAATATCGAGTACTCGGTTAATCAATCATATATCATAGACTAACAACATATGGTCTCCACCATCACCATGGATGATGATTGATTTAAGTACCATTTCTCTTATTGGGGTTGGTGTTCATGTGTGATCATGTGTTCATGTGAGTGAACAGATAAAGTTTGGTTCTATAATTTTGGGGTTCAAGTTTGTTAACTTATAATAGAGCTAAACACAAACAAAACCACATAATATGTGGGTTTCTAGGATGCACTTTTGGAGAAGAAAAAAAAGCCTCTCAAAATGCATAAAACAATCCCCACTTGCTGCACTTTTTGCTGGTCTTTTCCAGAACACTTAGTTTCCATGCAAAACCCATCATGGGGCCCTTTTTTCCTCTCACTCATCTCATCAATTTCCTCTCAATCTACTTCTCTCTCCAAAAGCGTGAATGAATTTTGAGTATGAAATAATCTAAAAATCATGTACCCTTTTAAGGGTCTTGTTCTTTTTGAATCGGGACCCACCAATCAATCATCTCCAACAGTGGCACCATCTCCCTTCTCTTGCTTCCAATCTTGCTGACATGTCATG